GGCAGCTTTAGTGCAGGACTAGCCACCGGGCACACTCTCATGCCCCAGTCAGCCCCTCCAGTGTCTACACATGCATGGCTGCAGTGTTTTACTCCTCAGGAGCATAGTACTTGTATTTACAAGTATTATCCTGCTGTGGAATAAATGAGTTTACTCCAACCTAATAGGGGGTACACATGTAGATGCCAAGACATTTACTGTGCAACTAACTAGTCAACTGCAGTAAACGTCTTGTGTAGAAGTCCCCACTGTGGTGTTACAGGTTACCTCTAAACTGTTATGAAGACACTTAAAACAGGAGCATTCACCTGTTAAAGGGTGTCAACCTAGGTGTCAATCCTACTACCAACCTCTGTGAAGATAATGAATCAGAGAACAGAAAACATTTTCAGCTGCATCTTACCTCTCCCCATATTCTGGCATGCAAGCAGTCAGCCCACTGGGTCTCAGCTTTGCCCTAGTGTGAATTCTAACCCAACCAATCCACGAACCCAATCCCAATTCAGTGAAATGCACGCAAGATTTTGGTCCTTTAAACTCACCCCCCCCAACAAAAACACAAACAAAAACATTCAAAAAACTTCTTTGTCACTCCTTTCTCTTTATTTCTGCCCTGATCTTTACTTCACTTCAAAGAGGTTTTTTTTCAAGACTATTCCCCTTCCACCCTGAGCTCTGGCTGGCTTCTACTAGCTGGGGAGTCAAGGAAGCCACATTGTGGTTCTTCCACCACTGAGTAACATGCCATCCTCCTCCATACTCTCCTACTCCCTGCTAGCCAGGCCCTTTAGTGGCAAGTCAGAGTTGTGCAGGTCTGAGACATAATTAGGTATTAACCTGTGACTGCTCTGAAACTGTTCTAACTTTATGATGGCATAAAATTCTACAGATTTCAAATGTTTCAAAGGTAACCTGTAATAGCACCCTTACACTTCTTCAACTAAGGGTCATGTGAGGGCACCCATCATTTAATGGTAATGCAGTATTTAATAGCATTATAATTTCAGACAGAGGGGTCACTGTAAATTCTCTGTAAATTCCAGCAAATTTTCATGCATATTACCTTTACTAGTAAACAAAAGACATGAGGAGACACCAGAACTGGCAAAACAAATCCTAATAAATGATCACCAAGGAGAGCTAAGGGTATTTTCTTAATTTAAATTAGACACCCTGTCATATTACATGCAGCAGTGATTAATCAATTATCACGTGACAAGAAATAATTAGAATTACACTTAAACCGATTACTACAAAGAGAGAGAAGAAAGACATAAATTAAACACTGAATGTAGAGACTAGATGGGATCTCTTCTGTAACAGTCTAGCTCTCTCCTATCACAGGAACCATGTCAAATAGTCTTTTAAAAATACCTATCAAGCTCAATCTTAAAATTAGGGTTTGTCCCTGCTACTCCTATTAGAAGGCAATTGAAGAACCTATTTCCATAGATGATTAAAAACCTAATTTCCACCCTAAATTTATTTGTAGTCTATTTATACCATTAATTCTTGGGTAAATATTGTCTTTTAGCTTAAACAGTTTTTCCCCTTTCCAGTGTTTATCTCCCACAATATATTTTTAGACAACAAACTGTATCACTCCTACCACCCACCTTTATTTTGATAGACTAAAAAGCTAAGACATTAATGTAACATAGATTCTCCATTTCCCAGATCATCTAAGTAAAAGGGCATTAATGCTTCCTATCTCCACTGGAAATACCATATTTACTCAGTTTTAAGATGGGCGTTTGTTCTCCATTTAACACAGGGAAAAAAGCTCCTCATCTTAGAACTGAGTATGATGGTGGAGTGGGGGTTGGGGGGAGCAGCTGCTGTGGCTCAGACCCTAGCCTGTACCTGGGGCCAGAGCTGTAATCACAGCGCTGCCTGCCCCCCTCCCCTGCAACTGCTTCTGCATCCTCATCTCTGCTTCCCCTCCTCCTTCTCTTCCTTCCCTCTCCCCCCACTTACCCTTGGTCCACACCAGCAGGATCCATCCACACAGCAGCTTGAGGCACTGAGTATGGCCCCAGCCCAGTCCTACAGCAGTGGCATGCAGCCCACATAGCTTTTATGGGACTGGGCTGAGGCTCAGTGCCCTTGGGCTACCATGCCCAAGCTAGAACAGGGACAGGGTCTGCCAGCACAGAGCAAGGGTAAGGATGGGGGAAGGGGTATCAGGGGCTGGGTGAGGGGTGGAACCAGAGGTTGGGAGAGGAAGAGTAGGTGGGGACAAAGTCTGAAGGGGAGGCGGGATCTGGGGAAAGAGGCTGGAAGGGAGAGTGGATCAGAGGCTTGGGAAAGGAGGGGGAAGCGGAGAGAAGATGCTAGGAACATGGAGCAGGAAGGAGAGCAGAGGCAGAGGAGGAAGGGGGTCCCAAGTCTGCAGGAGGGGATTAGAGGGGCAGGTACAAGCAGGGGGCAAGTTGCTTCACCTGCCCAAACCATCTGCCTCCTACCACTTGCTCCCCTTCAGCAATGGGGGTGGGGGTGGGGGGGGGGCGGAATTAAAGGTGACTGCACTATTATTAGATTCTGTACTTGGAAAATTATAACAAATGTATCATTTTTTCCACATAAAGAATCTAATTATTGGGGGCTGTCTTAAGTTCAGGGTCATCTTAGATTTGAGTAAATATGGTACATTGTGTAATATGTCCCACCATCATATTTGCCTTTTCCAAGGCCACATCACATTGGGGACTCATGGTTGGGGGCACCTGTGGTTGTCTAAAGCTCCCAGGTGTTCCTCCTCTTTTGCCATTTCCTACTTTTTGTGCCAAGATAATGAAAGTCAGCAAGGTTGGTTGCCAGACCAATTCTTGAGAACTTCCACTAGTAACCTCTGAAATCCCAGTCTAATAGCTCCCCCTTCAACACAAACTATTGTTATATTTCCTGTAGTCAGTTTCTTATCCACCTTTAGTTCTTGAAATGATTCCCAAGCTCTCTCAGTTCAACCAATAATTTTACATTGTATCAAATGCTTTAATGAAGATGAGACAGTGACAGTTACAAAATTTCCCTTTTCTGGAAAATCAGTTATCTGATCAAAGAATGATATCAACTAGTCTGACACAATTTATCTCTGGTATATTTGTGTTACATTTTATGAAACTTTCTATTTACCTCCACGTCTTTTATTATCTTTTCTTCAAAAACTGTTCTTAAGGTTTGTATGCTATTCATGTAAGACTAACAGATTTGTAGGTACCTGGAGAGCATTGCTTCCTTCCATATTAAACATAGGTATTACTTGCATTATAATCTAATCATATGGTACCATGCCCGATTTGCTTGATTATTAAAAACCTACACTACTGAACTGGCAATTTGATTTACCAGTTTGTTTGTTTTTTGGTATTCTGGAATGGCAAAAATATTCCTCTCCTCCCCTCTGACTTAAGTGCATTCAAAATTTTCAGTTTTGCTTCTACCTTGTTTGTGATGATTTTCATTTAAAATTCTGAATCCCATTAGCCATTATTCCATTCCCCCATGACCAACATTATTGTCCTTGCTGAAAACAGACAAAACATACATTTAGATATTGAGTCATATTCAACTTACCTCTGATTTCTACTCTTTCCTCACAGCATAGAAGTTCTACTTCTTTTCTTGTCACATAGTATAGCTGAAGAGTTTTTTTGCCATTTGTTTTCATTTACTTTGTAAAATCTAACTTAGTTTGATTTTTTGGCAATTCTCACTTCATCCCTAAAATATGTGACCTCTAAAACATAGCGTCTTTGGAAGTTGAATCCTTTTTCCCATCCCTTCTAATCTTTCCTGAAGGTTTTTTTTTTTAATTGTCTTGTTATTCTGTTTGGTCTGAGACCTTTTGTATAAGTTTTTTGCTCTTATTTGGTATAAACCTTCCAAATACTGTTTGCATCTTTGGCTAGAAACAGATGTCCACTTTGTGCATCCACAATTTTTATGACAGCACAAAGTGAAAGCAAACAGATGTCCATACCTTTTATTGCACCACAAAGACAAGTAATAATGTGTGCTGCATCTTCACAGAGGATATCTATTAGCTTTATGGCAGGAGAACATGGGCATCCCAGAGCAGTCTCTAGCTACCTGGGTCAGGCACTCCCAGGACTTGAGAGTCTCAGCCCTGCATGCCCTGGGCATTCCCATGCAGGATCAGGTCCCTTAAGCCTGGGAGTGCCTGCCCAGCTTTCCCCACTTACAGACGCATGGTGTATCTCTTTAAGTGGGGAAAAACCAGGGTTTCATGCTTACAGAGATGCACCTCAGGAATTCAGATGCTTTTTCTTATGACTTTTTAAAATGCCAGATTATAATATATTCCTTATTTGTGCTTTACCAGGCAGAATTGCAACACTGCATTGTAAAACAGCAATACTGCAATATTACACTTAACACTTTGCTTGCCATAGGTGGAAAAGCAGCTGCTGCACTATGTATTAAAAGAAACATTATACCAGGGATTTCATGCAGAGCTAGAAACAGTGGTCTGTTGTAAATCTTGCTTGAGAGGCACAATATGTCTACTGCAAATTAAGATATCATTTTTCACAGCATCATGTTTTTTTTAAATGCTGATGAGACAATGCTGCAATATGAGAAAGGAAAAATCAGGTTTTGGAAAAACAGGCTATCCCACCTCTAATGCAAGACAGATGAAAGTCACAGAAAATTCTAGTTGATGGCTAATATTCCTCTCAAAACAGTCTTATGTGTTTGTTGTTCTCTTGTTCACTCAGCTACTGTACATGAAAATAGCACTAGCACGTAGTGTGTTTACTGTTAAAAAATGCATTGCCATTGACTGTCATTTCTATCCATAAGGAACAAAATAAACTGTGCCACAAAAGAATAAACGTGAACCTTACTGGCATAAAGGAATAACTTCTTTGATGATACAGGTTCCTCCATTTTTGCAATAGCCATCAGGACAATCTAAGAACATGAAAGTAAACAACCATTATTAGATTAAGGGACATATAGGAATTGTCCCTGCCAACATGAGATTTTTTTCCTATGCTGGATCATCTACAGTTTAATTTTCAGAGATGTGAATAACCCCAGCTGTTAGTGAGCACATCTGTCATTTTGAGTACTGAGCACTTCTGACGATTCTATACTTGGTCACATGCTTGACCTAATCATAGTATTCCCACTGAAGTCAATGGATTACTCATGTACTCTGCTGAA